CCCCGCTGTCCTCTGCTGATACCCACCATAGCAATCAGTTCCAGAAGTGACAAAATCCTCATCCTTATCTGGTTCATTCACTGGATAGAAAATCAGTGAATAGATATTTGCTGATCACCTTCCACTCTTTCTCACTGACACCCACCATGGTCATCCTCGGCCCATGGGAGGGGAAGAAGAGTCCAAGATGGTGGGTGAATGACAGCTCAGAAACCAGAAGTGACAAATCCTTGCCCCTTTCAGGTTCATTCACTAGAGAGAATATCAGTGAATAGATATTTGCTGATCGCCCTCCACTCTTCCTCGCTGACACCTGTCCATGGCCATCCTAGGGCCATAGGAGGGGGCAGCAGAGTCTGGAATACATGGCGGGTGATGGACAGCTCAGAAAACAGAAGTGACAAAATCCTCATCCCTTTCAGGTTCATTCACCAGAGAGAAGATCGGTGAATGGATATGTACTAATCACCCTCCACTCTTCCCTGCTGACACCTGCCATGGACATCCCAGGCCCGTAGGAGAGTGGTAGAGGGGGTGGCACCTGCTGGGGTATGTGGAATGGATATCACATGTACCAGAAAGCCAACAGTCTGCTGACGGAGCAGACTCTATAGCAGCCTCGAGTCTTTTTATATTCCGCCAACTTGTTTTTCAACCATCTCTTTTGACTTTCTCTTTCTAAAGAAACAAAACTATAAACAAGTACCAGATTCAGGTAAAACTGGCCTGCATGGACAGGTAGAATTATGATAATTATAAAGTAGTGTGCTTAGGGTTGCCACCTTTTCTTCCAGCAAAACCCAAACACTTCTATCGACACGTGGACATTTTTTGGGGAGAATGAGTCATGGCTTATTAATATGTAAACAGTGCCACCCATTCATATGTAAATATCACAGTTGAGACTATTTTCAGTGTGGGGCCAGTAGCCCCTATCCTAATTTTGGTTGCCTCTTTCTGCCTGACATCTTGTGTTCGGGTTTCTGCTGCCATGAAACCTGGATAGAGCATTCAAAACCTGGACTGTCCGGGTGAATCCTGGACAGGTGGCAACCCTAAGTGTGCTAGCTAATAAACTTTAGAATTGCTAATCCTGCGACTAAGTGTGTGTGTCAGTTCGCATTCCTCACATGATCACGCTAAACAAAAGGGCAATATCTTATACAACTAATAACCCATCGAAGACAGTAGGGGATGGTAAGACCCCACCAGGTTTTCGTTTAGTTCTGTGCCCCGATGCAGACATTTCCCTTCACTTCTTGTCCTCGGGACACAACAAGAAACAAGTGGAATTCTTTCCAAGTTGTCGTCACAGCAGGTGTCCCCACTGGAAGATTGTTCCTCTATTGCTGTTTTGGGTGACAATTGTAAAATAGTCACCAGGACAAAAGGAGGGGTAATCTCCCAAGTGGGAGCACAAGCAGCAAAAAGGTTCTGACCCTTTCACACTCTATTCAAATAAAAATAAAAAATAACTTTGGCTTTAGACACGATTAAAGCGCCATTTTAATGCAATGATGATGGACAGACATGTTCCCACTTACCGTTAGCGTACCCTGCCCTTTTCCTTTGGCCGTCACAATGATCTTGTCTTTCATTTCAGCCTGCAGGAGATGCACATTATTATGTTATTATTATTATACGGGATTTATATAGCGCCAACAGTTTGCGCAGCACTTTACCATATAAGGAAGACATTACAGTTACAATACAATTCAAGACAAGGAAGGCCCTGCCCCTGAGGGCTTACAATCTATTTCAAGTAATACACAAGAAATTACCCCAGGATGCAGCAAGACAGCCCAATACGATGGGATGGAACCCAGCAAGCTTTTCTTAAAGAGACAGTGTCATGCCCATTCAGGGCAAAATGACCAGGTGCTTGTAAAGGGTCCCCACCCAACCTAGTTATACTCAACTTTTCAGCTCGCAGGGCAGCATTCTATGTGCAGGCTGACTGAGAGTGATCATCACTGGGGTCGGTTAACTCCACATTTAGCCCTTTACACACAAAAGGTAGCCATCACCATGTGTTTTAACGGAAATATCCACATTTCCAGTGTCTGCTATAGCAATTCTAGCAAGTGCCACACCAGGCAGGAATGAACCAGAGTATAAAATATGGTAGCTCGGAATTGTTTAATTTCTGATTTAGAGTATTTAGAGATAAGGTTTAATGATCTTTATATATTGTTTCAATGAAAAGAAAAAGAAAAACAGTGAAAGAAAAGATATACAGAAAAAACACACTGACCTTCTCGCTACGTTGGACGAGCGCATTTTCTGTGTGGAGTTTCCATGTAAAGCTTCCACTTCTCCCTGGCAAAGACATCGTCACATCCATATCAATCTCGTTCATTTCAGGTGAGTGAATCTGGAACTCTGATAATGCCTGGAACACCATAATGGTGGCCTGGAAGGAGAGGGATCAAAGCCAACAGGTTACAGAGGTTCAGTCGTCACTCTAAAACAAAGAACAAGGCCAAAGTGATTCTGAGCAACCGATCACAATTCAAAGTTCTATGATGGAAAGTTAAATCTGATTGGTTGCTTATTCAGTCCAACATATTCAGTGGCACTTTAAAGAAAAGGGTTGCATTCTCATGTGGGTCTCCCATTGGAGAGATTTACTCAAAATTTCCTTGCCTGTTGTCACTGAGGACATTAAGTAATGAAAAATGACGACTAAGTGCCCTTCTTTCAACTGCCTACCCATCATAGCCCTGCATGTCCTTTACCACATTATACTTGCCTGCCAAATGCACATCTGTCCATTATTTCATACAATTCTGTATGCATTTTACAGTCTATCGCTCCTGACTCAACTCCTGACCAAGACTCGTAACTGACAACTGGCCAGCATCCTGCCAAAAGTGGGTCAAGACTTTGAAATACCTTCACACCCAATAGGTAGACATCAACTTCCTTCAAGAGACCGACATTTCTTTCTTCTCAACCCCCAGTTACTTTGACACCCATTATACACAAATATTCCAGGCATGTCCCCATGAATAAGTGAGGAGTATTAATAGCCTTACATAACCGAACCACCTTCACCCACAAGGTCACTACCTTCTAATACAAGGCTCTCTTTAAGGTACAGAAGTTACTATGTACACCTACTACACACCCAATGCAAACTAAATCTCCTTTTTTCCCCCCTGGTGGACATCCTCCATAATCATCAAAAAGTCATATTCCATATTAGTTCTTAATGCTAAGCTAGACAAATCTCCCCCCAGATCCCCGCACACACAATTCAGCCTCATGAGTCTTTAAAGTGACACTAAACTCAAGCGTTAAAACTTAAAAATACATTCAAGTACCTTAACTTTTAACAAAAATTTATCTTATTTGTGTATCATTCGGCTGTAGATCCTCCAATCATCTCTGAATTGGTGCCGACACTGTCCTTCCTTCTGGAGGGAGGCTACTTTTGTTCCACATAGTCCATGTGTGTGTTGTAAAGTAGTCACCGCTCCAAGCTCACTCCCGGGATGGACTACAGTCTCATGTTTAGTTTAATAATTTGTATTGAGCTTGTAGTCCATCAAAAGAGCAAGCTTGGAGCGGTGGCTACTTTACAAATCTCCATGTGTAATCTGATCATGGAAATATGCCACAGTGAGTAAGCGAACGTGTAAAATTCACACACAATTTTTTTTGCATGTAAATTCTGTAATAAAATTAAAGATTAATCCTTGTCCAAGTAGAGCTGACTATCATATGTCCCTTCCACAGTCACTCCCTAGTCCCAGTTTAGGCAGAAACCAGTAAACCCACCATAATATTTTTGGATTGATGGAGGGAGCGCACACCCAGGGAAAACCTACAAACTCCACGTAGATAGCGTCCCTGGTGGAAAGTGAACCTCAGATACCTGTACTACAAGGACACAGAGCTAACTGGGAATATACCATGCTTACCCCCATTCTCCCTTCTCTTTCATCCCTCTACCCATGTGGTGTACTCTACCTGTGTGGATCCGTAGCCTCCGCCATAGAATCTTTGTTCTGTCAGCCATTTGGCCACAGGTTCGGCCAATAGGTACTGCTTGAGCTTGAGAAGGGCTAACAGGCCGTACGAAGAGGCTTCGATCATGTAGAGATCTGAAGAATAGTCTGCCCAGTGGGTGCCACCTAGCCACAAAAGAAAAACAATTTAAAAATGGGGAGCCAAAAGAAGGTTGTAGTTGGTTGGGGGTGTGCAGTGCTGGCATTTGTAGCTTTATACACTTTTTTTCACTGATATACTGGATTTGCTGTGAATTTTAATAAAGTCTGCAGTATTGGAATTCTCTGGATAGTGCGCTCTGTTCGTATACTGCTGAATTTAAAAATGGTTTTATCATTTTTTAGATAGACACTAGGCAATAAAGTTTTCTGTCTACAGATGTTTTAAACATATGTACATAGGGGAGGCCATATTCCCAGATAGCGAGCAATTGGGCTGCAAGTTTGAAAATGACTTGCTAAACTATTCGCCAAGCTACTTGCCAATTTTGTTGCACAATTACAGCAAGTCTGCATTGCAAGTCTCCTGACCAGCGAGCTTGCGGAGCTCTTGCTAAGACTCTTGCTGTAGACTTGCCAAGCAAATTTGATACAAATTCAAAAAGTGTCAACTAGAACTTGTGCTGTAAGTGTTCTGCAAGTCTACAATTTGCCAGGAATGTGTGCAGCAAGTTAACAAGAATTACAATTTAACCCGGCTACAAGTTTGTGGCAAGTTATCCTTGCTATCTGGGTTGTTTATTACATACACAGGTTCTGCTTCCTGTTTACTTCTCAAGGACTGACCATCACCCATGAGCCAATGATACACAGCAAGCTCCTTCTAAGATCCGTCTGGAAATCTAGAGTAAGAGAAAACACTTGAACAAACCTGTTGAACTTTTTATGAGCTGTTGATGATCTGGCAGTTTTCCCACCAAGGAGAGCGCATACGACGTGATGCAGATGCTGTACGGATTCTTCAGGGTCTTCAGCCGACCCTCCAAGTAGGTGGAGCTCTTATCCAGTTTGGATTGCAGATCCTGAAGTTATATAATGAATAGGGAATACAGATCAGGAAATCAAAGCGACATCAAACAGAGACTCTGATGCACCGTAAGCTCTAGCATTTCCTACCCATACCTTGGAAAAGGCCGAAATGCAGTGTTTGATGGAAGTTTAAAATAGAGGTACAGTGTTTTTTGTATTAAAAAAATCAAATCAAGGCCAGCATCACAAAAAATTATTTTGCTGAAATGCTCACCTTCAATGCAGAGCTGTCTCCTATAGTAATTCTATCCCACTACTTGATGTCATTGGTCTTTTAGGTTGAATTTAGCCAATTTTAGCCAATTTAGTGTCATTTAGCCAACTTCGACCCGCCCCCAGGGGCATGGCATCACACAGCCTGAGCTCAGAGTACTACTGCACTGTATAGTAATCACACATCATTAGGTGAGCTATGTTCAGTGAACTGCCCCCCCCTGCCACCAGAGGAAGAGAGGGAGGACATGTGATGCCACCAGTCAAACAAGAAGACACTTGGAAAAGAGACCCAATAAAATCACGGCACAAGCATGGTAGAATAAATCCATCCAAAGAAAACATTGCACAATAACCCTTCCTTTGGATGGATTGATTCTACCATGTTTATTCTGTGGTTTTATTTGTGCACAGTGGGGTGTTTACACATTGGGGTGCAGGTGAGTGTCACGTTTTTGGTGGGTGGGATTGACTTTAGGCATTTCTTTGCTTAATTTGGTGATAACGTGGGATGGGTGGGCTGTGGCCACCTCTTTAGACTTCTTGTCATATGTAATGCCCTGTGATTGCCCACAACTACAAACATTCATTCCATGTTCGTAAAATGCACTGAGGCTTACAATATCCATAATTTATCATCAAGATTTGCCCCCTCTAGTCTTCAATGGCATTTGCTGCTAAGTTTGGGTTCACCAAATTTCAAAGAGGATTCACCTAACCCTTGGTGAATTGAACCTGAGCAAATTAACCCATTTCTAATGCTAAGCTGAACACTGTTGCAGGTGTGGATGACATAGGGTACCATTAGAGGCCACATCCCCATTGGTGTACAGAACAGTAAAGCAGGAGCATGTGAACTAAAGGGCAACAAGGCAATTGTGTCTTGGGAATAACTACAGACAAGTTCAAACCTAGAATCTAAGTTCTACAAAATTCTCAGAATTCCCTTTTTGCATGCAGAACATATAACTGAACTGCATTCAGCAATCATTGGCATACAGAAATAAGGTATTGCTTACCGGAATTGTGTTTTCACAAAAACTCTTGGCTTCCACTAAGGCAATAAGGACAAAAGCAGTAAGAGAGGCGTCAGGGTCGGTGTTTCCTGTTCCTCCCTGCAGAGAAAGGACATCTTAATGCCATCCAAGTGGATTACCCCAACTAGGCAATTATACTATTATGCCGTACCAGGTCACTTACAGAAACTTGGAAAGAATAGATTTTGTAAGCTGGTTCATACTTTGCTTTTAATATTAAACTGTTGGCTACAAAATGACTGCAGGGTGTTTGCTATTATGTTTTGTGTGGCCCTCTGATCCTGGTATCATCTTCCTTGAATTCAGGGCTAAGCCCCAACCACACATTATAGCCCTGTCCAGTTGGATCTCCTTAGGGACCAATAAGGATGCTCTCACTGGTTAAAAGGATGGTAGTCGGAGCTTAACTTGAGAAATGTCACGTTAAAGTCACGTTAAAGTGTATGTCTACTTTGTGCAGCTAAATTGGGGATAACACTCACATCATATTTAGGCTGCATACAAGTGATCTTGGCGACATCGCCGAGATCACCTGTACAAAACAAGCGGCGGATTCCCCCTATACATTTAGCTCTGCTTGCCAAAAGAAGGGCTAAATGTAGAAAATAACTAACCGCCCGGCGTCCAGAACTGCATGTCCCGGGCATCGGGAGATAGGAATTCCACACCTCTGCTGCCCTCTACTCCCTGCTGCCCCAAGGCTGGGCCTTGGTTGGCCCTGATCATATTTGTTACATGTTGCAACAGAGGTGCACCCTCCCCATTTAAATGCGATCCCCGACAGGGTCTCTTTAAAGTCTGCCACAAACATAAAAAAACTTTAAAATCTGCTCTACCCTAAAGCTCAGTTATTGGAGTTAAATCCTGATCAGTCCACACAGTTAGCTGACCCCTTTTCATGTCTACACACATTAGTATAATTAGGACATTTTGAACAAGCCCCTTTTAACTACTGGCCCACAATCTTCTGACAAAATCTCTGAAATATGGAGGAGCAGGAGGAAAAAAAAGTTTTCTTGTGCTTCAGAACTAAAAATACACATTTGTGGAAGCCTCAGTTTCTTTTTCTTGGGTTAACTTTTACTTCCTAAATTTCCCAACATACCACCATCTCTCCATGTATGACTGGAGCATCTTCCTTGAACGTGCCAATTGGTAGCTGCTTTTCAGAAAGGAGCCATTTCATGGCCCCACACAAAATGTCTTTTTCTATGTTCATCATTCTTCCTGCCATGGCAAACACCTTTACCACATAGGCAGTGAGCCTAATGAAGGAAAAAGATCTGATGTGAGAGACTGAATGCAACACAGGCACGACATGAAGGAGAAAAAGGAATATGAGGAGATGTATTGAAAGATTTGGCCAACATGTGGCTCAATGGGCTTACCAAGTGCTGGCGGGTCTGTTAGTAAATGCAGAGTAGGAGTTGTCAGGTTTCCGATATGTCATCTGTTGTATGTATCCTAGAGATACAAGTGTGAACATCTGTATTAGCTGAGCTTTTTTTTAATTGAAGTAGAATTAGTTGACTCTTGCACATTCTAGACCCACCTTGTTCAATGTTTTTAATGGCCTCTGCTCTGCGTTCAACTCCTATTCTTTCCCATTGGTTGGTGACGTCCAGGAAACGAGTGGCGATCACCGTTGGTGTCATGCTCATCATAATCTGCTCTCCACAACCAGAGGGCACCGTAATTAGATGTTTCAAGTTGGCACCATCGATGGAATTCTGTAGGGTTTCTCCAAGAAGACTTCCTGAGTATTTGAAGGATACAGTATATTTACAAATTGATGGAGTATGCAAGTGGTACATTATATGCCATTATTCATAGGCCATAGTAAAAGTTGTTTGAGAATGTTGCCTGGACTTGGTTAGTTCAGTGAAAACCTTCTCCTTTTCCAATGAGAATGCCCCAGTAATGGCACTGTCACTGAGCAGTGGAAAAACAAGTCAAAGGGGCTTAGACCTGAAGTCAGGCCCCTAGTAACGATGTGAATGTAATTTCAGAGGGATACACAAAACAGGTTTTCCTGGTTAACGCATGCAATATACTGTAAGTCATCTTGTGATGTATGCTCAGGACTTTTAAATGTTTAAAATGTCCAACAGATTCAGCTAAAGACAAATGGTAAATATAGCCAGCTGGAAGTAGCCAAGAGGTCTTGTCTTCCATTGGACCATTACCCTGATAACATATTTGTAGTCAGTGATACTTGATGCAAATATACAACACAGTTTAGTGATTTCCTGATGGAGTGGAAGCTCCACAATGGTGACTCACAAGAGATGCAGCCATGCCAATACATTGGCCTTAGAGCAGTAGTTCTCAGCCTGGGGTATGCCTACCCTGGGGGTATTTTGACACATGTCAGGGATACCTCAAAGGCTGTGGATACCTGAAGGCCAATATGGTGGATCAAAATCCTCTTCCTTAGGTTGCAACATTGGTGAATTGTAATTGGTGGACAGGTTCCCAGTAATGCTTGATATTATGGACACAGTATATTGTGAGTGTAAAACATGCCCTGGCCTTGAGCCCCAAGACTGGATTAATAAGCAATAACCGTGGGACTCTTGTTGGATTGAGCTTAAAGCCGGTACGCATGTATCAAATTTTGGCTGGTTCATGATGAACAGGAAGCAATTCGCACAGTGGGTGTCACTGTCAGTACCCTTCCAGCCGGCATCCCTTGATCAGCTGATCGAAGGAGCAGTTTGGAAAATGAAGCTTGGCTCTGTTCGGGTATGTTGACAGCAGTCAGCACTGTTTTGGATATTAATGAGAGTAATTGATTATTAAATACCTGTTAATCCTTCCATTTTTGCACTCTCTCTGTGCTCTCTTTAATAGCCACCATCTCCCAATGCTACAGGAGTGTACTTATCCTCCTATGTGAACTACAGGCAGATGTACTATCATCCAAACCACTGCAGTCAATGCCCCCTGCTGGTTGATTGACAGCTATTCCTACCATTTAGCAGCAGAGACTGGGACTTCATGAACTAAACCCGCCGTTTTTTTACTGAACAGCTTGGCCTGGTACAGGAAGTGGAAACATAAGTGATCTACTGGATATGAAAAAAACCTATGTGCCGGGGGGACTTAGAAAAACAAACACTGCCATGTTAATGCTATGGATAGACTGCGTATATATTACATTTTCATTTTGCTCTTTTAACTTTAAAATAGGTTTTGAACATCCACATTTTATCTGAGCTGGGGGAGTATCCCTGATGTGTTGGCCAAAAAAGGTTGAGAGTAACTGCTCTAGAGTAACTGACACCCCCAATGTAGTTCCATCACTGGATTTTGCTAATTTTGCAGTGGCTGCACAAACACCATCTTTCAAGAAAAGAAAGCTCAATGTTTTCCTGAAGGTTGTCTAAAACCGATGGCATATGGAACAATGTACTACTTACGGCATAGCCAAAATCTATCAATTTCATTCACGATGGGCATGCACCTGATCACGAATGTTCAGTGTTGGAACTAGGCTGCTTACCTTGCACACTAATGTAGGTGTTGGCTTCAGTGTTCGGAACGATGTCAGTGGGTGGAGATGTATTAATGGTGAGTACCTGGGTTCCAGGCGCTGCAAAGGTTTATAGGACAGCCATTAGTTGTGAGGAGATGGCTCAGCAGGTAAAGGAGAGATAGGAGACAAGGAGAATGACAGATGGCAAAAGAAGAACTCGAAAGCCTATAGATTGCCTATAAACAGGTAGATCCCCCTGGCCTTTGTTAGATTTGTTGCATCTTAAAGGTGAACAAAACTTATTTTTCTAGCTTTGGGTCAAGTGTGGAAGATTTAGAACTTCTGCCAGGTTTGTATGGATGTCTGTTTGTCCATTAGGGGGAATCGTTATCATTTTATGACTATTGGCCCAATTTCACTAATAGAGAAAGTGAGAAAAATTTTAAATCTTGCTGGAACAGGAGCAGAAGGTAAATCTCCCAATACCGAAACCTGTTCCAGCAACGGCTGCCAAACACAGGATTTCACTACACTTTGGGAGGATTTCCTTTTACTTCTTGTGTCACTGGGAGAGGAAATCTCTCCAGTGGGAGCACAGCAAGCATTAGGAACCTGATGAAGGCCCCTAACCCTTCCCTGCGCTATCCAAAAGTAAAAAAACATTAAAAGGTTTTGAATGGATTTATTGCCCTTCTCCATCACCCTACCAACTGGGCCCTCATAACTTCAGCCCTTCCCTTTCTGCCCCTTCTGTGTACTTAGTACCCATTCAAACTCCAAAGATATTCCTTTATCTGTTTAGAGCCTATTTCTGATGTGATCAGAATCAGAGACCCTTCTACAAACACTTGACAGTAATGAAGGAAAGTATTGGACTGATGCGTTTAGCCTTTGCATTTTGACACTTAGAAATCCAATATATAAGAAAAGAAAAGTTTGAAGTGAATAAGAAGAAAGGAAATGTTAATAACTCACTGTCTGCTGAGCGTAGGGGGTCCAGAATGACACTCTGAATGCTTTTAAGAATTCTTAATCCTTCGGGCTGGAAGCAAAAATTATATAAATAATTGGTGATTAAATGGCAAGTAATTTAAGGCCTTAAAAATAACCTTCACCAAAAAGGGATTCTTCTTCATTCATTACCTACAAAGGTTTAAAATTAAAGCTGAACTCCAGGTATACATTTTCATGCATACGTACATTAGTCCAGAGTGGTCCAATCTTAACAAACATGCCCCCCTTTTGAAAAAGTGGGGGCACACCTTTATGCTATTAAAGGCTTTCCTGAGGGTTTAGAAGACTTTTTACTCCTGACCTTGTGGTGGCCGGAGAACCAAGGAAGAGAAATACTTTGAAGAGCAGATGCAATGGAAGGTTTTTACATCTGTATATGCTCTGAAAGACCTGGGACTGGATAGAACAGACTGATCCTCTAAATGAAGAGTAGTACATAGTAACACAATAGGAGCCAAAACGGTCTCTTTTAACCCCTTACCACCAACTCTTACCAAGCCTTTAACGTGTCCACGATAGCAGCAGCTGGTAGGCAGGCTCACGATCATGTGGTCACTGTGATTGTCAGTGATCGGGAGTCCATCCTAGCAGCTTCTGATTATGAACAGTAACTGGGATCTGTCCATGAATGAGTGCACTCCCAGCAGAGGTTCTGTGAGGGAAGCTGTGGGAGTACAGTTAGGACCTCTGGAGGTCAGAACCAATGAGGAACTTGGTGAATTTGGTCACTACGTCTTGTGTGACTGCTGTAGAAACCCCAGTTTATAAGGCAAGGGACTTGGTCTCTGCCAGTGGAGCCGAGGAGGCCTCCACTGATAAGGTAGACCCTATAATCATAGGGTAAAAGGGTTTCTAATTACAGACCTCAGTACCGTTAGAGGTACAGCATAAACATTCCCAAAACAAACAGAAGAAGTGAGCTGGAGTCACCTGTGCAGCAGGGCCGTCCCCTCTGTTCTAGATGTAGACATTTTGCGACCATGTGTCGGTATGGTAACTAATAGACATGTGCGATTCATTTCGTTACGAATCGAAATTCGTACGAATTTTCCTGAAATTCCGAATTTCGGAGCATCCGAAATCCGAATGGCAGTTTCCGAATTATATCCGAAATACGAAATTCCGTTAACGAATTTTGGATCCGAATTTCTTTGAAACAGGAACTAATATTACCCCTGTAAATGAGGTTGAACAGCATGACAAGATTTTTTTTTAATCCGAGATACGGATCCGCTGCTGCTGATGCATTACAATACACAGTTACACACACAGGCAGGAAATACGAAATTCCGTTGACGTATTTTCGTTCTGTTACGAACATTCGTTATAATAAAGTTAAAAAGCAAAGTACATTTATATTGGAGTTGATGGTAGTTTTTTTTTTAAAGTCCGAAATACGGAATTCGGAATACGGAATCTGTTAATGGAATTCGTATTTCGTTTTGGTTGACCAATCAGAGGTTCTCTTCTGCTGCTGAGAGTTGCATTACAAATACAGGCAGGAAATACGAAATTCCGTTGACGTATTTTCGTTCCATTACGAACATTCGTTATATTGAAGGTAAAAAGCAAAGTACATTTATATTGGAGTTGATGGTAGTTTTTTTTAAAGTCCGAAATACGGAATTCGGAATACGGAATTCGTATTTTGGATAAAAAAACAACTACCACTCCAATATTAACAAAGCTATTTTGCTTTTTAACTTCATCATAACGAATGTTCGTAAAGTTACGAAAATATAACCGCCACTAACGAAAATTCGTATTTCGTACGAATCCGAATCCGAATTGAGTTCAGTTACGAATTACGAAATACGAAATAACGGATATTCCGAAACGAAACAGAACGAATTTTTTGACGGCGCACAAGTCTAGTAACTAAATACAGGGTCGAGGCAGGGCCACAGGTAGAAAGGAGGGCCTTAGCAGAAAGAGGACAGGATGTACCTCTGGATGTAGCCTGTGCTACGGCTACATACAAACTGGCCAATTGCCTACACTGGATTGTGTATGGCCAGAAACTCTGTCCCAGGACTTTTTGCTTCCAAAAAGCCAGGACTGGTCAGAGTCCCTAATCGCTCATCATAGGATAAACAACATGTCAGCAGCAGTGGAACCACTCATTCATTTGTTGTGGATAACAGAGAAGTTGTATATTTGATATTGGCTGGCTTCCTAACAGCACACTCATACTGGTATAAGGCCAATCACAAGAAAAAAGTAAATTCCCTTTCCATTCGCTATACTCACCACGACTTTCAGATTCTTGACCACTCCATCGGTATGGAAAATGTGTTTGACTGAGGCTTTGACTTCTATACGAATGTCTCCAGTCTTTAGTGGAACAATGACAAATGGGAGGATCAGAGTCCCAGTGGGCTCTAGTTTGACCACCTGACGGAAATCGGCTTCTCCAGTTGCCGCACTGCACATCTCCTTATTGTAGATCAGATCCACTACAGCCTACAAAAGACAGATGGTTAGTGAATGTCAAAGCTAGGCAAGGAGAGACAAATCTTGGCAATTGGGTCACATACAGAAATAAACACCTGACACAAATTTGAATCAAGCTGTTAAAAAGCCCACAATCATGAAGCATCCTCCTCTTGGTCCCCCTTCAGGGAAATTCTAGAGCTTTGTCACAGATGTGGTGGTTCCTTCACCCTGTTCTTGTGAAAACTGCTCTCTACATGTCTTTTCCTGCTGTCACAATGACAGGAAGTGAGCTGAAATCTCCCCAATGGAGCACATTCTGCAATAAAACCCTAATCAGGTTCAAGTATTTCCCTGTCCAAGAAGTCTTAACTGGAGTTGGAATTTTTGGTCATACATGATTTAACCTATCAATTTGTTTTTGGATCCTCGGAGGAAACCCACTAAAATGTGTAGATATGTGCTGGGATTCAAACCCAGAACCGCAAGACCAGACTACTAACTACTTTCATTGATAGGAATGTTGAGGCTTTACACATTCCATTCCAGTACCTCGATTTCCTGATCTATGTAACTGTGCAGGACGGCTCGGATCTCCACTTGCTCGTTGCGAACGACGGAATATGGGAGGCGCAGGTCAATGAAGAAACTTTTCCTCACAAGCATTTCAAAGGGTTTAGAGACACAGATACCTATGGAGAGAAGATGGTAAGGCAGTGAACAAATGGGTGAATGAATGGAAGTTGTGTTAGGTTGGATGTGCTGCCACAATGTTGCATGGAATATGTATTCATAGCCGCAGTTAATTTTCACACTAATGTTAAAAGAGAATTTAGTTTATTTCCCCAAAACATTCTATCATAGATATTGTATGGTTAATTAATGTGCTGCCATCTAGTGGTCGTTTTAGTTAATTGCATTTGGTTATTGCACATGTTTTCTTTGTTCCCTCCCATCTATGATGTATTTCCCCTTCTTGTTCAGAGTGAAGTGTCATGGCTGCTCCTAACAGGGACACATGTTAATCTGCATTGCATGCTTGAAACATTATCATCTTTGACCGCCTTAAATACTGCCAATTCATTAATCTGCGGTATCCTGTTTGTCTGCTGTAACCTGATCTACAGAATAAAGCACGTTTGTGGATGGAAAGGGTATTTGGTGAGTTCAGCTATCTGATAAGGATTGTCCGCAGTGATTATATCTGCTTATACAGGCCAGGCATAGAGGTCTCAGCAAGGGATAAATCACCAATACAACAATCGGAGTCAGAATATTGGACTTTCACTAAACATTTTCACCAACCGTTATTTTTGTTATCTGTTAATATCTGTAGAATTGTGAAAACTGGCTATATAGGCCCAAGGCAGAGCCATTAAAATGAAGCAGAGATTAAGAATCATGCAACCAAGTCCAAAACCACTTTACATTCTTTTTAATCATGTAACTGTATTTGACTTGGTGACCAGTACCTGAGTTAGGAGATAGGCTGATTGCCAGAAATTCCCAAGTAGTGACGGAATCTGGTAAGTTGGCATTTAAAGTCTTTGATGCATATCTGTGAAAGATGAAAGTAAAGTATTGTGTGTTTCCCATGCATAGTTATTTTGATTTACAATTGTAACGGTTCATGCTCCTGGACTTCTCATATGCTCTTCTCCTGTTCTGGATTCCCTTTCTACCTGCCAATTGACCCTCCAAACCATGGCATCCACCCTAAAAGAAAACCTACACTTTTCTCATTCATGTCAGAGTAACAAGCGTGCTTTAATTCCCCCTCTCTGCCAGCTAAAACTTACTTATCCTTTGCTCCCACCCTCTGTTCAGCCCTTGGAGCAGAAGGAAATACTTGGTACTTCCGACTAACTCTATGTAACAACACTAGGCCAGTTAGCATTGTCACAGGGAAGTCTATAATCAGTGGTGTCCCTAGACTTTTTGCTGCCTCCTGCAGGTGGTGGTGTGCAGTGGTGATGGTGGAGCACATGGGAGCAGGGTAGAGGAGACAGTGCCGCCAGACAGGAGAGTGAGGTTGCCCTCTGCAGGCTCTGCATCTCCTGGCCGGGCTCTTAGCAATCTGGGACACTCTGGCCAGCGTCCTGCCCAGCTCCTGGCAACCAGTGATGTCACTAGTTGCCAGGAGCTAGGCAGGACACTGGCCAAAGCATCCCAGGTTGAGGTGGGAAGATGTGCAAGGCCCTTAAACATCTCCCCTCCCGGCTCTTAGCAACCTGGGACGCTCTGGCCGGAAAGGGGACAGCAGGCACACTGCAAACATTGTGCAACAGGGCAGCCATGCCACTCAGCCTTCAGCTGAGAGATGCCGCCTGAGGCAACAGGCTCCGGCTGCTTTATTAAAGGGACAGCCCTATCTATAACCCTGTGTAACTCATGCCTCCAGTGACTTGTAGCCTTCTACCATTGTCCTTTTATACAATCGCATTAGTCTACTGTATAGTGTCTTCAAACCAACACTGTATGGCGATGCATGTGTGATCGATTGTTAAAACTGTCCATTTTTCTGTCAACCCCTCTCCCCTTCTTCCCCTTATCAATAATGTTTATACCTAAAAATGAAAACAAATCTAAGTGATAGGTCAGCAGTGGCAGCATCCACTGTTCATGACATTTTCCCTTTAAATGATTTACATCATATTCTACACAGGCATTACATGAACTTTAAAACAAATCCTCACTGACCTCTGTGGCTGTAGACACTGAAGTAATTAATTCTCAAATCTTACAACAAAGACTCTGAAGTGGGATTGAAAGCTGCTTCTGCTGTTTGTTTATATAAGAAAGCTGACATGATGCCGTGTTCCTGCTTCCATAGAAAATAGGGAGCGAAGGACTGTGATTTCATTGCCTCTGTTATGAACTTTAAAGATGAATTGCTCCACAATGCAAACATACATACAGAGTTCAGTGAGGGCTTGTTTTAGAACCCGTTTACTGCTTGTTAAAAATACAATAAAATGAATGTATCCATAGTCTGGCAACAGCTTCCATTTTAAACCACTAGATCAAATAAATGCTTTTTCTGACCTCCGAACCTGGCGTTACTGGGCTAAAGGCAGCTCACCTGGAGCTAAGAGCAGTTATCAGTCTGGACCAGTGGTGCCCGGGCAATTGCACCTTTATGGTTAAAGCAGTCCTGATTGGTTTTAGCTGGGAACTCTGGGTAAGATGGGTTGCTGTCTGTGGTATAAATCCTGCTTTGAGGCCAATGGTAGGTTACGCTTACCCGCGGCTATCTGCTTTAGTAGGCAGCTTTTCAATCTTCCACAACCAGCTCTCATAAAAGAGGCTTCGTGACAAGATAGTGTCCATGGTTGCATAGTCGTCCTCATTGAGAGCATCTGCCTTTCCTGTATCTCCGATGGTGGACCCGGGACGAACTGGGACAGAAAGGCAGAATGTTATGTAGAGGAGAACAGCAAATTTAACACCATCAGCTGTTTTGCAGAATGGTAATTTAAGGGAAAACTCATTTTGGGCCGATGCTACTTTATTTAAAAAAAGATATGTATATAATTAGGAGATGACACAATAATTACACATATACATACATATACATATACAGACACACACACAAACTCACATACATAGGTTGAACTGGATGGACCTTGGTCTTTATTCAACCTTACATACTATGTTGCTATGTTACTATATACTGTATATACAGGTGAAACTCGAATAATTAGAATATCGTGCAAAGTTCATTTATTTCACTAATGCAACTTAAAAGGTGAAACTAATATATGAGATAGACTCATTACATGCAAAGCAAGATAATTAAAGCTGTGATTTGTCATAATTGTGATGATTATGTGGTTCGGAAGGCTTTTTTTTCCCTATGAATGATGATTGGTGTGGATTGGTTGGGTGATCCAGTTACGGAGCTCAAGTATAATTTTTTTCTTAACATTTCATATTCAGAATATTTTCAGCCTAACCAATCGTACGGCGTGGTGTCAGTTTGTCAAAGTTTAATTCCAGGCAAGGTGCTACATAATACAATGATACATATACAACATATAAGAACTATTATGTGTGCCAATGGATTTTTATCCTGTTTGACCAGTCTTGTGATTAGTACGTGAGTTTGACTCGAACATCGGCAGTTCGTGTGTTGGGCGAACACACAAACTATCAGAGTGTTCGCCCGTCAAGCGCCCCACAAGGCACTGCACCTTGTGAAGCGCTGATTGTTTAAAGCCTTGCACCTGACCACAGGTTCTACCTCCATAGACTCCCATGTTCTTAAGTTCGAATTCGAACCGAACAGGGGGGTGTTCTGTT